TCTCGTCATCCTTCTGTAGAACCACATTTATGTTGTTTCAATTCTCTTCTTCATCTGTCCACTATTCACTGCTATATAGAACTGATATTACTGATATGCAGTCCTTTTTTGTTTGTTTCGAACGCTTTTTTGCTTTTTCTTAATATTTTGCTTAGCTTTTGGAAGGCATCTTTTACTATGCCAATGCCTCTTCGGATTTCAGTGTCACACTTTTTGTCCTCTGTTAAAACACTTCCCAGATATTTAAATTGTTGTATTTTTTTATTTTGGTATTGTCAATTTGTAATTTGCATGTCGGACTGTTCATTTTGCTAACAAACATGCATTCTGTCTTCTTGCAATTGATGCTTAGTCCTTTCTTTTCGCTTCTGTAGGAGTTCTGTATTTCTGTCAACACGGTGTTATCTGCATATCTTATGTTGTTAAGATTATGGCCGCCAATAATGAATCCTTATAGAACTTCTATCAGGATCTGATCAGATTCTTTGAGCATCAGCTCAAGATGAAGATTAGAACTGATAGAAAACGACTGCATTCGACAGTCTTCAGCGAAAGGTGGGTGAAAGAGGCGAGCTTGGTTCGTTTGAACGGGGCTAGCCTTGATTTTCTCTTAGGTCAACCTATGTCACATCGGGGCGGTTTCCTGTGGAGCCCTCCCCTGGTTAGGTTAGACAAGCCTTGTGTACCCAGTTAATGTGAATAAATGTTGTTCCCGGCCTGTTCCCGGTCACATCTTTGGTTATGATCCAGCCTGAGATTCCCAACCTCCCCAGTTTGTTCTGGCCCCTTTTTATCTCGTCTTGGTCAGCTTTATATTTTCCCATGCCCGTATTATTTTTTATCCTTTTCCTACTCCCTTAGCGAGAGAGCTTCTTGATTTTGTCCCATGGGCAGAATACAGCGGCCTCTCTGTTTTTGAGGGTTGGGCGGACCGTACTAACATCAGTTATGTTTAATTTGATTTGTGTTAATATTTCAATTTGTTACTGGGTTCATCTCCGTCCCCTCTCATTTTTTCATCACAGATTTTTATACATACTTTACTATCATTAAATTTTTATGACATGGGGTGCGTTTTGTAGGTGCCCCTAGAGAGGATGTGGTATTATGGTGTATGGAGGATTGATTGGTGATGGACGAGTTCTTGTGGCGAATGAGTAAATTGTAATGAGTGAATGCGTCGTGAATCGGATTAGCTAGGTATAAGATAGTTAGTGTGGACCAGCCTTAACCCCTCCCTTTTTTTCGGCCTTGTGCCACAATTATGTAATTTTTACATAATAAATATCTAGAACTTCTAATTCTCTAAGAAGCGCCCCACCGTATAGTTTACTTCCCCAATTAACCGAACTTTAAAATTTCAACAGTATTTAATCTAAACGCAACAGAGACATATGATTTGAATTAATTTAATTCGTTAGTTGGAGTCATTTAGAGCTTATTTAATTAGAACCATCCGAATCCTTATAAAAGTTGCCAATGTAATGATAGTTCAATATGCAAATGATACTATTCTATTTGCTGAAATAGAAAAATGTACCTATGACTTTTAGGCAATACCTAAATTGTTTGGCTCTTTCTTCAAAGTTTACGCAATTTCATAAAGTTTGTATTGTCTTAATAATTCTGCAAAAGTAATCATCTGCTTGCATTCATTTTTAAAAAAAAATCGTAATGGCTGACTATTTTTAAATGTCTAGAATAGACAGCGTAACACTGTCTTCAGCTACGTAGTGTAACAATTTCATACTGCATACTTTCCTATCTTAGTTCTCGCTACAAACGAGAAATTCAAGCTTCCAACAATTTATTATTGATATATTAGACAGGGTTAAAAATGAGCCACTAAAAGATAGCTTTTAAACGGTTTGCAAGCAGAGTGATAAAGAGAATGCTAACTTGATTGTTATTTTAAAGCCTTGAAACTCTACTGAATCTTGTTTGGAAAAAATAATTCAGGATTTATGTTTAAAATATGGCCCCGACAATAAATTGCTTACATTATATTTATTCATATATAGATAAAAAGAAGAGAGACTATACGTATATTCAATACACGTTGTCTACTAGCGATAAAGCAGAATGCTTTGCTTGTAAATTCTCTTCCATCACTACTCTTGACTTATCAGCTCGCCTGATTTTCCCCCATAACAAAGTCTCTACTGAGGGATATGCACATAACTCCGTCCATGGTTTCTTCTATAAGTTCTAAACTATATTCCAGCAAAAGCTTTCAGATTCGACGTTATCCCTGAAATTGTCCTAAATAAATGTGCTCCTGAAGTGGCTCCTGTACTACTAGATTGGCAACTAGGTCTCACCGTTATACTGCTGAAGTAGCTAGATTCAACCGTATGTTCTATTCTGATTATTTCCCTGCACTTCTCACCCGTGGAACTCCCTTCCGATTTCTTGCTTCTCTGCCACCAACAACCTTCAAAAATTTAAATGCAACGCCAATCGCTATATTATATCTTCCTGATCTTGTTATTTTATTTTTCTTTCTCCTCAATAAAATGTTCTCATTCTCTTTCATTCCCAGTAACTCCTTGCATCTTAGTGGCATTATTGCCTTGCTTATGGTAAATCGATCAAAAAGGATAGATAGATAGATAGATAGATAGATAGATAGATAGATAGATAGTGTTGTAATATTGTCAGGCAAGAATAAAGATACAAAGAGAGGAATTGATTTAGACAAATATATTAACAGAAACAGAAATACAAACATATACAAACGAGAGTGTTACACCAAGAATGTTCGATACGACTGTCAGAGCGGACTGCTGGAAACTTCCCTCTCTAAAAAGGCAGTACCTGCTCCTATTTATAGCTGGGAGAGTCCATGCGTGCGTGGATAAATTACCATAACAGATAGATAGATAGATAGATAGATAGATAGATAGATAATATTTTGACAAAACAAGAATGGACCAATGTCCATAGCCTGACACGTGGTAAGCAAAAGCCCCATCGCAGAATACAACAACAGCACACACACAAACACACACACATAACACAACACACAAAGAACTGTACCAGACAAGTGAAAGCATAACACTTGAGAACTATCAACAACTAAGATTGATAACACATGTAACCCGAAGAGAGAATAATGAGAAAATCATGTTTATGCTTCACACTATGACAAACCTAAAGCAAGGAAGGAAACCATCATCAAAACTAAAAAGAGCGATAACAGCTAGTGGATTTGAAAAAACAATTTCCCTGAAAATGTTAGGAAGGTAGCCGCTATTTATACAGGAAATAGCAATAACAGCTACTTGACTCGAGAAAACTATTTTCCTGAAGTTGTTAGAAAGGTAACCTCCACCTATACTGGGAAGAGCAATAACAGCTACTTGACTTGAGAAAACTATTTTCCTGAAGATGTTAGGAAGGTAGTCTCCGTCTATACTGGAAAGAGCGATAACAGCTACTGGACTTGAGAAACCTCTTTTCCTGAAAAGGTTAGAAAGGTAGCCTCCACCTATACTGGGAAGAGCAATAACAGCTACTTGACTTGAGAAAACTATTTTCCCTGAAAAGGTTAGGAAGGTAGCCTCCGTCTATACTGGAAATAGCGACAACAGCTACGGAACTTGAGAAACCAGTTTTCCTGAATAGGTTAGAAAAGTAGCGTGCATCTATATAGGAGAGAGCAATAACAGCAACTGGATTTGAGAAACCTATTTTCCTGAAAACGTTATGATGGTATCCTCCATCTATGGTGGAAAGAGCGATAACAGAATGGTAAGACAACACTCACAAAAGGCACCAACTTGTGGCTGGATACATGCAAACTGAAATATAAACACAAACAATGTTTACGTCTTCTGTCTGCCGCATTCCTTTAAGACATGGACGGCCATGACTCTCCACAACTTCCTATCTCGTGTGATCCTTCTGTTAAGGTTCTCGGTTCCCAATCTGCCATCCATTCACGCAAGCTCGTCAGGTAGATGGTGCTCTACCTAGAACTGTCAATCTCGCCCTCGATATGCCCCGTGAGGGTTAAATTTTTCAGTCCTTCTTTCCTCAATATGTCAAAGGGATTTCAACTGTCTTTTCCTGATTCTGAGTATAAGTATTCTTTTTCTTGTCATTTTCTTTAAAACTTCATCGTTTTATTTTACATTCGGTGGATGTTAACACCGTGCAACCTGATACAAGATGATCAATTGTTTCTGGATATTCATCACAGAATCTACATTACAGATTAACACAATTTTTCAGTATACTTGCTTGGTAATTTCTAGTTAGCAACCATTGGTCCTGTACTGAAAAAATAAAACCTCGGTTTCAGCTTTTAATCTTGCACTACGTAACCAGTAATGAGTATGGAGTTTGTCTACATCGGATCGTTTGGCATGGGTAGAGCATTAGGCATGAAGATACTTATCTTGCCATTGTTTCTGTATTTGATCCATTGCATTTTGCTTTTGCCGCCTTCTTTTTTCCTTTGCCGCTACAGTCGGTGTATTATGGTTTATATGCTCTTCTTAATCCTCTTGAAATTCCCTTTTGAATTTCTTGGCTTCCTTTATTCCTGAATGAAGTTTTTTCTTTCTTTGATGTTCTTTGACACTGATCACCATCCACTCTTCTGTAGTTTCCAGGTATCTTTCAAGACTAATTGTTGAAATGTTGTAAGACAGTACTAGTTGAACTTATCCTCTGCCTCCTTCAGATCTGGGCACATACAGACGATTAACCTCGGCCTTAGGATGATGCATACGGTGACAAATGAGAAGCTGTCTCTTTTTGACATCCATTCGTTTAATGTAAGATATGATCCAGTTAAGGATGCTGAAACAGTATTGCACAAATTTTTATTATTATTATTATTATTATTATTTTACAGAATGAGTTACCTTGTCCGTCTACATGCCCCAGGACGTAATTTCCGGTCTACATTCCGGTATTATCCAGAAAGGTACGTCGTCCATCCCCGGGGTCATTATGTTAACTACAGGCGTAGGACTGCAAATTTTGAGAGAATGTTTGAGCGCCTTGGACTAAATCTTGATGTTTTCAGAGGTGAAAGTGAAGACGAAGATGACGGTAAGTAATATTTTTCTTAACATATATATATATATATATATATATATATATATATATATATAAGGAATTAATGGATTTATATTTAATCCGGTATTTTTATATGATTTACATCGTTATCATTGCGAATACTCGTATTTGAAATAGAGGCCCCATTTTTATTTTATTTTAAAAAGTGCTTTTAACAATACGCTTATCGGACTGCGCATTCGAAAAATCATTTCCTTTATTAAGATTTTTACAATATTTACGTCAGACGTTATCATAGCGGAATCTCCTACTTGAAATAGACGCCCCATTTTTATTTTTATTTCAAGCAGTGTATTTAAACGGGGAGCCTGTCGGCCTGTACATTCGAGAAATCATTTCCTTTATTAAGGATGATACATGTAATACACACTGTTTGAAATGAAAAATTAAAATGTAGTGCCTATTTCAAATAACAATATTTACTATAAAAACCGTTTGAAGTAATAAATATGTGTGTGTGAGTGAGAGAAAGAGAGAGAAGAGTGAAAGTGTGTGTGAGAGAAAGAGTCAGTCTGTGTGCGTGAGAGAGAGAGTGTGTGTGTGAGACAGAGAGTGTGTGTGTGACAGAGAGTGTGTGTGAGAGAGAGAAAGTGATTTTGTGTGTGTGAGAGACAGAGATTGTGTATGTGTAAGAGAGAGTGAGAGTGTGTGTTTGAGAGTGCGTGTGTGAGAGAGAGAGTGAGTTTATGCGTGTGTGTAAAAATTCAGATATAAATAAAATATACCTGCAAAGACAATATAAATAAACGGCAAAAGGGAAAATTTTCTCTACCAACGTGTTTCGTCCCCTAAATAACTTCATCAAGGTAAATGTGTAACTTTTATTTATACACAGAAACAAAGTAGAAGAAAATTTTTGTTGTTAAAAAATTTCATTTTTCAGCAACAATAACGTTTATGCAATTTTGTCTATAAGGCAATAAATTACATCCCTTGGCATCGTCTATAGTTTAGTTTAAACAGCGAGCTTTAAGAAAATTTTAGACCGTTTTTCAATTTTAAATTTGAAAACTTAATGATATTTTCCTCCACAAAGAACAGTAAAATATATAATCCGGTGTTCTTATAGATATTAATGTCTTTAATTTAACTACAAAATTAAATTCGGAGCTTTCAGCTTCCATCTTTGAAACATGGTTAGAACTGTGTAGCGAAAAAAAACATTTTAAATCAATTAATTTATAATATATATATATATATATATATATATATATATATATATATATATATTATGGATTTTAACTTATTATATATATTTATATATATATATATATATATATATATATATATATATATATATATACATAATGTAGAGGTAAAAAATCCGTTGGTATATAATCCAAGTGGATCCTAGTAATATGAAAATATTAGAAATGACACACAAAAAAAAGTGCTCATATGGGGAATAGGCTATTTCGGCTGGTAAAAGTATCTGTTTGATTATTATTCACATATATATATATATATATATATATATATATATATATATATATATATATATATATGAGAAAGAGAGAAAGAGAGAGATTTTAAGTGTCCCGTATTTCTAATTTTCTAATCTGGAAACCCTATGTTCTCTCGATTTAACTCCTTAATTAACTTTCTACGTCAGCACAGTCTTTGATATGTTTTATTTATTTTCATTTAGTCTGTCTATTGTTAACTAAACTGGAAGCAGACGACGAGAGAGATAGTAAAAAGAGGAAAAATGCTGAGAGCTATTTTTCTTTTTACATACAACGTGTGAAAGCACGTGCGATACCCTGTCCTCGTCAGCCACCAACCGCAGTTGGTGGGGTAACACAGTTTCGGTGGCTAAGGCGGTACTGCCAGCCCTGGTGTCACCAGCAGCTTTTGCCACTAGACAGGCTATTGTTTTCTTGTGTAAACTTGTCAGTCTCTTCGATGTTTTCCTTTTTTTTCTTTTTTTTCTTTGCAACTACAAGTCATGTAATTCGACGTTCTGTTAAAAGCGCTTGCTTTTGATCGTTAAACCAATACACAACGCGCCCGAAGCGACCGTCATCAATGACGTAGAATGGAAGAAAAACAGATGTGTTTCACGTCAGAAGTAGCATTGTGTTGCGAGCATGGTTTTTAAACTAACTATATTTATTTTGGATCTTGTCCAGATCCAATTCAATGCTATGGTCTGGAGACGACGTGAAGCACGTTTCAGACACCGGCCAGTGATGCCCACCTTCAAAAGGAAGGAAACGATTGACAGTCCAAGGAATCCCCGTCAATAGGTAGCACATGACATGTCCACCCCTTTTCCACGCAGTTGGATCGCAGCGATTCGTAGCTCATGCGCCTCCTCCCTGTTCTCCTCCCATGGAACCGTTAATTCTAGTAGAATTCTGCTAAAAAGAAGAGGAAGTTGTGAAAATCTATGATCACCAACCTCCTGAAGGGACACGGTACATAGAAGAAGTGTGTTCAATGGCACGTTTACTTTTGTTTCTTTTACTTTAGTTTAATTCCTTAACACCGCCCCCATTAGGTGAAAGAGATTTCATTTCTCAATACCCGTAAGATATGCGGTGGTGTAAGCGTTATTTGCTCAGAACGTGAAATCGATGCGCCGAGTTTGAATTCCAGTCGATTACGTTGTATTCACTTTTGTTCAAATACCCCTGAGAAGGACAGCAATCTAACTCTTCTTTCCCCCACGCTATAGGTTAAAAAGTAGGACAGGCTCAGCTTTTCATTTTTGGTAAGCAGCCAGCTTAGAAGAAGGGAAACTATGAATTCAAATCTAATTATGCATGAGACCAGCAACTTCATCCTGTAAAATAATTACCTACATAATACGCCACAGCAGTAATGCACGGAGTATTGAGTCTGTGTTCCTCGGGCAGGTTTATTTTTCACTTAAGAAAATCAATATTGCACTCGGATTGAAAGCTGGGGTTTCAGGTAATGACACCAAAACTTAGATTCATAGCTTTTAGTAATTTTTGAGAATTTAGTTCTAAAGATCGTCTGAAAAATGTAGAGAAATCCCTAATCTCTGCAGGTTTTTGCTTACAATCTGACTTCAAAATTTTACTATTTCAAGAATAAATCCAAATAAAGTTGATATCTTTTGTATTAGATACATTGAATATCCCAACAAGAATTCTAATTATGAATAACCACAAGCAAAATATGCAGTTTTTTCTTACTGTATTCGATAAGTAAAAACTGTAAAAAAAAATTTGTAAAAGATTACCAAAAAGACTTCTCAATGAATAAGATTTGTTAAATCATTTGTTAAAACTTAATTAATAAAAGCAAAAAATAGATAAAAGTGCATATAACACCATAATACTGCTGGGCACAAATTATAAGACAAAAATGTTTTAAATTTTCATTGTGTATTGAAAATCATACTAAACTACTGTACTGTATAAAATATAACATCATAATGTAGCTATTCTTGGCCGCAAGTAGGAAGATCACTACAACCATGCATACCTAATGTATAACTTCGAATAGCCCAAGTGAAGTCTTGATTGGTTGTTGTCTACTGGGGCAACTTATATAATTCACGTCCTAAAGCTAGTGGCAAATTTTTGTTCTAGGTCGGGCCGAATACTGATCATATTCGGTCGGGTCGCCCATCGAAGAAGTCTGTTGTTTATTTAGACCCGAAACTTCTAGTGACATGGGAGCAACAACACTGACGACGCATCTAGATTCAGCACTTAAAGGTGTATTCTAATAATAATAATAGCTAAATTGTTCATTATAATTTCCCTTTGAAGTAAATAAAGGGCTATTTTGATGGCACAATGATTTAATAATAATGTGCTTGTGTCATCCATCTTGTTCATATACAACTACAAATTATCTATGAAAGTTTCAGTAAATTATAAATTTTAAAAGATGCTTTCACTGATTACCGGAATTAAATTCCAATGCAATCTTAAAACTTGTTTCCTCAAAAAAAAAATGGTAACAATTTGGAAAACATCATAGTCTTTTCTTATTCATCATGTCAATCTGCAACTTTTAAAATGAAGTGCAATATTACGATTCCAAAATCGACCTGCTTTCCTGTTGTTACCCTACACCACAACTAGAGTGTACGATTACGCTCAGGTGCCTAATATAAGAGGGGTCATTTTTTACGGTTATTATCCGGTTCCCCACCTGTAGACAACCGCCTTTATACATTTGACCCATTAAATGATTTTCTCGGCAGCCCTTTTATTAAAACGTCTTGTTGATTTCATTGAGAAAGAGGAACTACTTTTAAAAAAAGCCACTGTAGAGGCGGTGTTAATGTATAGTGCCGCTGCTTGAACGCTAACTAAAACCCTAGAATATAAACTTGATAGAACTTAAACACTGACGAGGAGAGCAATACTTAACATCTCTTGGAGACGGCATCCAACTAAACCAAACCTCTCTGGACTCATCTCTATCTATAAAAGACAGGATGTGTGTGTTTGTGTGTGTGTGTGTGTGTGACAATTTTGCACAAAATTTACATGCACATGCTCCAAGTTAGTAGGAACGCCAAAACCGACTTTGCATTTCCCAACTCCCATCGAGAGTGGAAATAATCGATTTTTTCATGCTTCTACGGCACTTTTCATGTAGTTTGCGGCCATTTTCTACTGGCCAGAGTGAGAGCTTATAGCTGGCTGCCACGAATAGACAGGAAGATTCTATTGGCCAGCGAGAGAGCCAACAGCTGACTGACACGAATGTTAACTAGCATGCTAGCATGCAAAAAAAAAATCTATAGCTGCATTCGTCACAAGTGGGAAAAATTTAAATATGCATGGCACTTTACTCCAATTGGCTCATTCGCTTGCTTAAACTCAACGTTGATTCTGATTCCGCAGAACTGGGTTGGGTGTGAAAAAGTATTTGTTGTTAACATTCTTTTTTCATTCGGTTTTTCCAGTTACGAGTCCTTTTTTAAAGCTGATCGTTTTGTGTTCATTTTGTTTAGTTCTTTTTTCGTAACAGATTTAATG